CAGTGTTCATACACTAAAATGAGAATTTAACAGGCATCAACAACTGCAACATCCGGATTTATGCGTCCAAATGTGAAAAGGGATTAGGTGGTTGCTGTTCGGAGGATGTGCCAGCAGTAGACGGATCTCCTCTTGTCCCTCCAAGACCTATAGGTGCTGCCATTTGACACTCGCGAATGTGATCATCGAGCTTCGATTCAATCCATGTAAGTCTCTCGAGAATGAGCTGCATTGCTCTCTGTGTGCCTAATCTTTGAGGAACTCGAGATGAAGCAGCTTGTGAGGGACTTGCTTCTTTAGTTTCTTCGGCATGTTCTTCATCATCAAACCCCTCACCTTCATCATCTTATCCTCATCTTCTCCTTCTCTGCTTCATTTCCCATGAATTTGTTCTTGCATTGAATACATACCCCATTTTGTTCAGTGAACTCTCGTTTAGAAGCTCGTGACGGTATAAGTCTCGAGACTCCATACCACGCAAATCAACGCCCGCATTTTCCATAAGTAACGTGATCAGAGTGCCATACGCCAGTATGAGTGTCGATCTACCCCTATAATACACCATGTGTCTCATAATATGGTGTCCTAAATTGATCCGCCTTTGGCTAAGAATATATGCAAACCACACACAATTCGGACCACTAAATTTCCCAAAAGAACCTTGCCTTGGCAAAATTATGTGATTATAAATCCAAAACATTAACCGATTCTACAAATGCAAGTGGTGAATGCTTAATGTTTGTCCCTCATTCAACTCATCCCCCATGATAGATTTCTTTGCTGATTCCTCTGTAAATGCATGCAATTCCATGACTCCCTCATTTGGCAAATGTAAATCATCATTTATGGTTTCAGCATCAAATTCAAAAGTCTTCCTAAGAACCGTTGTTTTATACTCTCCATCCTCCGAGTCACTCCAATTTGCATAAAAAATCTTAATCAATTGCAGGTAAACCCTCACCTTTCTAGTTACTAATTCAGTCCATCCCATTGCATCTAACATTTCTCTTACATGCAACCCCCCTTTGCATATATCTTCCAAAACTACTCTAAACCCATAAATGACATTCTTATTTCCTAAATTTCTATATATTTCCATAGCATTTGTAGATACAAAGTTCCGAGGGTTATCGGGTTGAAATACCTGCTTGGTGTTTGTGCTTTCACCGCTCTCCTCAGAACTTTGCTCAACCCTTCGACGCCTTCCAGAAGTGCTTGCCGCCTGCCCCCTTGGTTTCTTTACAACTCTTTTAGTCTTCACCATTTTGGCAGATAATGCACGAATCTTAGAGGAATGGGCCAAAAATGATGTGGGTTTGTGTTTGGGTGAGTTATTTTTGTGAAATTTGGGAGGCTTTTGGCTGTTTTGAGGGTTAGGTTTCTCAGAGAGTCAAATAGGAGAGGGAGGGAAAATGGGGAAAATTGGAACTGTCGCACTTCTAATCAAATCCCGCGCCCAAGAGTCGACTATAACTTTTGAGAGTCGACTCTTTGAAGAACAACAGTCAACTCTAACAAAGAATAGTCGACTTTGAAAGTGGAAGTGTCTACTTCCCTGCAGCAAGAAGAGTCGACTCTATGTAACTAAGAGTCGAATATGTATCATTAAGAGTCGACTCTGTGCTGCACCAAATGGTTTCGCTGGTCTCTGGAATTTGGAAGTTGACTCTTGTTATGGTATAGTCAACTCTAGTGCCTAGAAGAGTCAAATTTGAATTCATAAAGTCGACTCTTTACTGTAATTCAAAATAATTTTAAATTTTTCGTTTGAAGAGTCGAATATATAACTCCATTTATAACCCTATAATTATATTTATTGCCTTCATAATATCATATAAATGACCCTTAATATCACATAACTTCCTTTTTTACTGTAGCAATTAACTTTTCCCTCTCCTCTATTATTCTAGCAACCGTTTTCCTCCATTAATCTCCCTCACCCCCATTACTTCAGTAACTGTTCTCCATTATCTCCCTCTCCTCCAACCGTTTCCTCCCTTTTTCCTTTTATTTTATTATTATCATTGTTTTTGTGTCTACTTCGCACCCCTACTCAGATTTTTTCTGCACTCTCCTCCCATCATTTTCTTTGGGTTCATGATCGTGAACCCAGATCTGAGTTTGTGTTGATGAACCCAACTCGATCTGGCTTCACAAACCTAGATCTGGGTCTGTCTTCATGAACACAAACCCAGATCTGGATCATGAACCCAAATATCAGCAACTTCACCTTAATGCATTTTTTGGGTTTGTGTTCATGAAGCTTCTCTTCTCTTCTTCCTCAAAACAACCCCTTTCATCCATCTTACATGCTGTTTAGAATTTGAAATGAAAAGGGAAAAGAACATTCAGTTGAAAATATGGTTCCATAGCAGCAAGTTAGATGTGGTTGAGAAATCCAGATTTTATGAATTAATTGTGAATTTTCATTTTAATATTTTTTTATAAGTAAATTTTACTTAAATTCTTGTACAACATGAAATGGACTATGAAAATTTTGTTACATTTTATGTTTGGATATTGAGAAACGTTGTTCAAGAAATTTTGATTTATTTAATACTAAAGTATTTTTTAATAATGAAATGTATATAATAAGGAAATATAAATAATTAAACTTTAATTGAACTTAATTGTAAGATAATTGATTTGATTTCAAATGTAATTTATTAATTAATTGATATTAAATATAATTATAATAGGTGAACATTATAATTAAAAATGTTAATAGATGTCTTAGTTGATAACTTTTTTGGATTTTATGGTATGAATGGTAATTATATAAATATTTTTTTCATGTCCTTAAATATTAATATCATATTTTTTATTTTAATTGATTATTATATCTTTTAATTTATTAAAAAACAGATAAATTATATAATTTAAAATAATGTAATGTAATGATATAATAAGTAATTATATTAAAAAAAGTTTAACATTAACCATTTATAATGTGACAATAATCTTACCTTAATTATATGTCATCAATTATATTAAAATAAAATGCCATGTATAAAATTTTAAAATTATGCAAACTCATTTAGTTGAGAACCAAAATTAACATTTAACTTATTTATTAATGGTATATAAATGTACATGACTTTACATTCCTTTTAGCTTATATTTTATATCTAAAATATTTTCATTTATTTACATTATATTTGATATATTAGATCATTTATACTACTAATTTTATATTCAGATACATATTACTTCAACTATTGTATTTTTTACTATTAATATTGATTTAACACACCTGCACACAAGAATTCGAATCCGATTCTTATATTTTGGAGAGTGTGCTTCAGTCAACCGTCATATCCATCCATCTGCTGCTTGCATTTTTTTCTTCAATACAATTAACTTTCAGCAACATAGTGATTGTTGCTGAAAGTCTCATCCTTTTTGCATCATAGTCCATAGTCCATGTTGGTGATGCAACTTTTCAGCAACATAGTGAATGTTGCTGAAATGCTCATCCTTTTAGCATCCTCTTAGGGGCACGTTCCACACACTCTTTGCTTTCTACACCATTCTTCCCCCTAAAGCATTATAGCCATATTTCCTCCCATCTCTCCATCTTTCTACTTGAATTTGCCACAATCTGAGAAGGCAATTAAGAATTTTCAGGTTTATTTACAATAAAAGCTTTCATTCTTTTCATTCAGTAAGGTAAGTCTACCATTTTCCTATTGTTTCCTTATATTTTTTCTACCCTCTTTATTCTTATAATTTAAATCCATTATCTTTTGTGTTCATAATCCATTTCTGTTTTATACTTGATAAATTATGATTTATATACTGTGACAGAAACTTCTGCAATTTGCAAGTAGCATTCCCCAATCGCCCTTCATTTGTATTTCAAGAGTAAGTTTTATTACTCATTAGTTTGCACCCATTATCTTCGTTATATTTTAATGTTTTCTTGTATATTATAGTTTTTGTTTCTATCATGGATGAATTTGAAGTATGCTATTTTTTACTTATTATTTTTATTATATTATACATAGCTTATATAAAAAATATAATAGTTAATACAGATATTATTATATTGTAAATACACATTTGTTATAAAAAAAATTAAATATTAATTTGAAGTGTTTGATTTCCTTAGATGACATTTTGAGTAAGTTTTTCATCAGAAATAAGTAATGGTTAAACTCCAAATTTTGCCCCATAAATTTGAAGGGTGTGCACACTCTTCATCTCATAATTGGTTTATTAAATGATAGTCCCTAAACTATGAAAAATATACTGTAATAGTCCTTCTGTTACGTAACCGTTAACTTTATTGGAATTTGTATAACTTTAAATCCTTCAACTTTTACCATAAGTACATTTCTATCCCTCAACTTTTAATATATGCA